ATTCTGATAAATTTTTTTGACAGTCGTGACAAAATAGTCACTGTTGCATTTAGTCTCTGCAAGTCACACTAACCATTAGGATTTTAAATTTAAGGTACAACAACAGGGCATTACCTTTAGTTAGTTACAAGTATGATGTTTGGATAAGCCTCAATTGCAACAGTCATTTTCTTCTACCATCCACATCGTTCCAATTGTGGCCGATCTTATTGCTACAATCTCCATTTATATAAGTAGCATTTCCATCACCATTTCATAATAATAGACCAGCTTATAAATTTTCTCCATCACTAGCAAATAAAAGGCAAATAACAAACCTGCACCAATTGTACAAAAGAATCCAATGAAGTACTCTTTTTTTGAGCTCATTTGGTTTCTCATTACTAGAATCTAATGCTAAAAGGATAGAGCTCAAGGTAAGAAGGTAATTTTTTGCTTCACAAATATGACAAACATAACAATATTGAAAACAAGTTGGGAAGACAACAATAGAGTCAAGGTTGAAATAGGAAGATATGAATTTCCAAATAAGAAGATAAGATTATTTAATCCTAACATAACACCAATTAAAATGAATAAAATTAACATTTTTGAATTGAAATCAGTGAAGGGCTTCCTTTTAGTGAATTTAAGGAAGACCAATTGGTATAAACAAGAAAGGAAAACCTGCAGATTAAACCACAAAAAGAAGAAGGGGGCGCTGGGGTACAGAAATCTTAACAGAATTTGTTTTTTTTAAAAAAACATGGTTTATTGAAAGTGCTTAATTCAATCAAAACATATTTAAGGGCTCCTTTGGATGAGTTTTTTTTCTCTAAAAACTACTTTTTTTCTTGAAAAAAAGCACTCCTCATTTTTAGTTCGTTTGGATGTCTGCTTTTAAAAAAAGCAGAAGTCACACAAAAAGTCAAAAACCTATTTTTCTCATAAGCTAAAAATTTTAACTTCTAAAAAAAGCAGAAGTCAAAAGCCAAATATTTTTTTCAAAAACTAAATATTTTTATAAAAATATAAATAGCTTTAACTTTTATAAAAAAACACTTTTAAAATAAGGAAGAGATAAAAATTACTTTTTAAAAAAAGAAACCAAACAAGCTCTTAATCCGGTGGGGCAACCACGAGGCCCTATATCAAATCACATAATTTTTTGGCGCCATATATATATATATATATATATATATATATATATATATATAGCACCGATACCGACACGTGATACGACAAGATACTCCGACACTTTAATTTTAAAAAATGTTAGATTTCGACACGTTAGGACACGTTTTGATATTAAATAATATTTTTAATTTATGTAGTGTATATTATATTTAATATTCAATAATTTAACAAAAAAATGAATCTAAACTTATAATATTCATAAATTTTGTAAAGAAACATAAGATATCCCAAATATTTATATTAAACTCAATAAAATGGTAATCGTAATATAACAAATCTAATAGTTAGAGCTAAAAACTCAACGCAACGCAATTTTTGAAACTTTTTTTGAATTTCTATAATGCGTGTTGTAGTGTCGGGGAGTGTCGGAGTGTCCGAGAGTATCGAGAAGTGTCGTACACGACACGTTAGGATTTTTGAAGTGTCGGTGCTTCATAGAATATAAGTATAATGTTGTAGGAAAGTTGTTAGGTTATATTATAGAGATAGGGATTGTGGGGCCCACACTTGTTGAAAAATTATGTGAGTCCCACAATCCCTATTTCTATAACATAACCTAACAACTTTCCTACAACATTATTTTTCTTTTTCCATATATATATATATATATATATATAAAAGTGAGAATTTAGGATACACCTACCCAAATACTTTTTTTTTTCAAATCAAAACCCAAAAGGTGAGTCTAATAAAAGGACGCTCTTTTTAGGATTATCTTAGAGTAAGGTTTTAATGGTTATGATTGAAAATGGAAAATAGGGTCCATTTGTATGACTAGTGTGCAGGATTAAGCAAAATATATACTTCCACGTTGATATCATAATATTTTATAATTTAAATTTTGTTGGGTGATATCTTTGTACCCACGCATGCCGTTTAGATGAAGCCTACGGGTCCACTTCTACTGAGCAATTAGACAACAAATGCAATTCATGCCTTCATTTTTAGCATAAGTCGCCAAAATTGAAATTTTCAATAAAGCACTTACTAGGAGGTATTTAGCCGATAGATTAGACTGTTTTAACAATGTGTGGACCAATAATCTCTAGTATAATTATTCTTGTTCACAGGGTTTTTAACTCTCTTTTTTAATCGATGTCATGCGTTCTAAATATGGGATTCATTAGCCTCTTGAATTGCAAAGTTGAAGAACAAGGACAATAATTTTTTAACTCTACTTTTAACATTATATATGGTTGATAATCTTTTGGACAGGCTCCCAACAGAACCAATGACATTATTTTTTTAATCCCTTCTTTTGTTTCACATTTTGAATTATTGATTGTCCTTTGATCAAAATAAAAGGGGAAATTGGGATTGAAAAGAGAATTTGAGGGCTGCCACCAGTAATTAACTTTAAAAAGTGAGTTTAGCTTTGATGTTCCTTCCAAGAAAGATAGTCTAGCTTTGAATTAAAACTTTTTTTTTTTTCGTTTTGTTTATTTCTTGCACTTCTGCCTAATCAACAATACATCACAAACGGTACCATCTTTGCATCCAGCCTTCATTTTATTTTCATATTCTATAACACCTCTCTCATTATTTATAAAAGTACACAACTATTATAATGTAACCAATAAGCCCAAATAACTTTTTTATGAGAAAGTATAAATAAATTTAATGTATGCTACAATAGGTGCATTGAATAAATTTTGGTGAATGAATTAATTTATTCATTTATTGTATATGTCAATATATTAGTGGGGGAGTTGCCGTACTCCTCTTCAATTTTCTCCACCAGCATATTATAAGGGAACAAATAGCTACTTGCATCTACAATTTGTGTCTACAATTTTACAATCTGGCAGAACCATAATTTGCATCTATAATTTGTACTTTTGGAAGTTTTGATGCTTTATGGATTCAAATATTATTGTGAACAGTGTGATCATATTTCCTTTGAGCTGGCATATATGTACTAAACAAATTTGATAATGGCAGCCTAAATTAGGTTAATTATATTAGCATTGGGGGTGGGGGAGGCATTTGCTCAATTATAACCAGTAGGGCCAAAAGAGACACTGAAAAACTTATGGTGCAGACTTTACTAAAGCAAAAGCAATTTGGAGGGCCAAAGCACAACATTTACTAAGCTAGCTATAGATTCCTTTCATAAAAAAGAGATATGAAAATTTAGATATTATTTTGGAAAGTACGTATGGATATGATAACGTATGGGAACAAATCTTGAATTGTCATCCCATTATTTTTGAAAACATGGGGGAGCCATGGCAATGAGTCGGTGAGTGGCGGTGCAACCATGACCCAAAAGCTAAATTCATTCTTGTTGGAGCCAAACAACTAGTTATTTCTTAGGCGTTTTGGCTTCTTAAGGCCACCTTTTTCTTTATGGGTTTAAATTGGATTACCTAACGAGTGAATCATTATATTGGACATCCAACACTAAGTTATTGGAATACAAGTTAAATAATTGAATATATATTTGCAGAGACTAAAATAAATGCTTATTATGATTCTGAACCAGAGTTTAAGTTAGCTAACTCATAATCTTGATTGAGAAAAAAGAAAAATGCTTTTCTTCTAATGTGTCTTCTATTTGTTCAAGTAATAATCAGCTTTCTCTTACCAGGTGTCACCCGGATATAAATTTGGCACACAACAGGCTTGTCCGCCAAGTAAAATGAGTGTAGTTTTAAGCAGCTATCTTGCAAACCAGTAAGATTTTCATACATAATTCTTTGGTTGGAAGGAGGTTATTTACGTATATATAATAGGGTTTGATTTTTCTCATGTCGGATGAGATAATTTTATCTCATGTAACATATAAAAAAATGGGTAGGATCCACTTTGAAGAAGAGAGAAAGAAAAAAGATGGGTCCCATCCACTTTTTTGTGTGTTGCATGAGATAAATTGTCTCACGTAACATAAGAAACACATTTCCTATATAATATCGGGGGAAAGATATACTTATCACCAAAAAAATTTACAACTAACTTAATCATCTTTGATTTCCGTCAATCTAACGGCTATAATTTATTGGAAATTATTGGGTCACATTATTACTTAATTATTAATTCTCAATAAAATATAACTGTTAGATTGACAGATATCAACGATATTTAAATTAATTGTAAAAGTGATAAACTTTTTTAGTTGTAAATATATCATGCCGTATAATATTGATATAGTAAAAGTGATAAACTTTTTTAGTTGTAAATATATCCTGCCGCATAATATTGATATAAAAACACAAAGTTTCTTAGGAGGCATACCCAGTTACCCACATAATGAACTCAAGCATCTGCAGCCATAATAGGTCCCACCCCTTACTTTGAAACTGGTCCACCAACTCATGTGTGAGGTTTGGTGGACCATACCATTTGTTGCCTCGATAAAAAATTTGAAGTGGAGCTGGCAAGATTATCAAAATGAGATTTTTGGCTGCAGAAAATTCTAGACCTTGGAAAAACTCTCTACAAACTTAAAATTTTTTTTATCCAAAAACATTAATCCTCGTTGTTAGACAATACTATAAATTATTAAAAAAATCCTCAACTAATAATTTATTCTTTTTGATTGAATTGATTCTTCCCAATAAAAGCAGTGATTACCGAAGGTATATTTCACATTTTCTATCAGAAGATTGCTCAATTTCACAATATTCTAGTGAAACTAGGGAACTGCTAAAGCGTTATGTTCATTTTTGTCAAAGAAAAGCATTTCACTTCATAAATGATGCTTGGAAAAAATAACATTCTTTAATTTTCTTTGACTCAAGAACATTTATTTATCCGCCTCAGCTCAGTCTTTTTTGGTTATCATTCTATTCAATTCAAATAAAACCACTTGCTCTCAACTTTTATTCTGCCCCCTCCTCTCTTGTACACACCCAAAATACAGTTTTGACATCTTGTCTGAAAACTCTCTTCCCTTTGAAACTTCTTCTCTGTCTCTTTTGTCTAATACTTGTTTAGATAAACCTCTCTTTGTACATATAAAAAATAGAGTATCAACCATGGCTGCCAACAAGTTTGCAACCATGTTGCATCGAAATACCAACAAAATCACCCTTGTTCTAGTCTATGCCATCCTTGAATGGATTCTGATCATTCTCCTCCTTCTAAATTCTCTTTTTTCTTATTTGATCATAAAGTTTGCTGATTACTTTGGCCTTAAAAGGCCCTGCATGTGGTGTACAAGAATTGATCATATCCTAGAGCCTGGAAAGAACAAAAATTCTTGCATAGATCTTGTGTGTGAAACTCATGCCTTTGAGATTTCTAGACTTGGTTTCTGCTCCAATCATCACAAACTGGCTGAATCAAAAGACATGTGTGAGGATTGCTCATCCTCATCCCAACCAGATTATGTTAAACTGTCTCAGAGTTTTGGTTTCTTTCCATGGATGAAGCAAATAGGCATGATTCAGGATTCTGATGATAAGGCAATTGAGAAAGTGGAGGAGGCTTTGAAGTGTTCTTGCTGTGGTGTCAACCTAGACAGCAGATTCTACCCTCCTTGCATTCTGATTAAACCTTCTCTGAACGTTTTGGATTATGGCCTGAAGCAGAATTTGATCACAGAAGGTGGGGTTGATGCAGATATTGATGAAGGTGATCACTCAGATCATAGCAGATCGGATTTTGTGCTTGATCATCATGAAGATGAACAGAGCACTGAAGAAAACAGGGGAAGTCACATAGTGTTTGAGGTTGAACAGGGTTTAGGTAGAAGAGAAGATGAGGGAGAGGAGAGTTGTGCTTGTTCTGTATGTGATGGTGGCAAGGAAGCCCTGGCTGAAGAAATTTACAAGTTGGATTTGGGTGTAGAGAAAGGGAAAGAAACCTTTGAAGAGGAAACTTTGAATGTTCCTAAGCCTAAGGATGATGATGATCAACCTTGTCAGCAGACCACTGCTCAAGTTGATTTCATTGGAGAGATAACTGAGGAAATTCCACCCAAACATCTGGAATTTTTCATTCATGGTGATGATTGCAGATTGATTCCTGTTGAATTGGTTGACTCCACTGCCACAGAAAATGGAAATCAAAATAGATATAAGGTGGAGGGTGAAGGGCTCACCGACAATGAAGATTTTATTCTTGACTTTGATATGAGTACTGATGCAGAAGCTGAACCGGTTATTGAGAATTGGCACATTTCTGGGGATATTGTGACAGAATTTTCATGTCAGGAGAATAAAAATGTCTTCAAGATCAATGGGGTTGACTCAATTCAATTAAGGACCAGAGGACAGTCCTCAGGGTTACAAGTAGAAGAAGAAAAATTGGAGCTGAATTATCAACATGTGAGATTTGCTCAGACAGCTGAAGACTTGCCTAGGGATGACAATGTTGAAGCAAACATGGAAAGAAGAGATGGAGAACTATGTTCAGATGTTTCTCTAGGTTTTAATTGTTTTCCTCCTCAATAAGTCTACTCAGTTCTTATACTGTTGTCTTTCTTGATTTTCTATATTCAATGATCTAATATTTTCTTTATTCTTGCAGCATCTGAAGATGCATCACAAATGCAGGGTGAGGAATTTGAAGCAGAAGTCTCAATAGGGACTGAAATTCCTGATCACGACCAAGTGGATGAGTATCAAAGCCAATATATCCTCTTGGATACAAATCAACGAATACAAGAAGATCCATCTACTAGCACAGTCAGATTTCATGTCCAAGATGATAGAGGTAAGCCTCAACTTCTTATCTTCCTTTTTCTTCAAGTCCATCCTTAAAACTTTCTAATAACATAAGCTGAAAAATAAAATTTACCATTTTTTTAATATTTAAACTTTGCAATATATAATTAGGACTTGACAATGGTGAAGAATTTGTTGAATTCAAAACCATGTCACTTGAAGTGAGAATGCCAACCGCAAATAACCATTTGTCATCATCATCTTTGGAGCTTAATGAGAATGAGGAAGAAAAAGTTCCTGACACACCCACTTCTGCGGAGAGTCTGCATCAGCTACACAAGAAATTGCTTCTGCTTGAGAGGAAAGAATCAGGAACAGAAGAGTCATTGGATGGAAGTGTCATAAGTGATATAGAATACGGTGAGCTCACAATTGAGAAGTTAAAATCAGCATTGAAATCTGAAAGGAAGGCTTTAAGTACTGTATATGCAGAACTAGAAGAAGAGAGAAGTGCATCTGCTGTAGCAGCCAATCATACAATGGCAATGATAAATAGGCTTCAGGAAGAAAAAGCAGCAATGCAGATGGAAGCTTTGCAGTATCAGAGAATGATGGATGAACAATCTGAGTATGACCAGGAGGCTTTGCAGATTTTGAATGAGCTTATGCTGAAGAGGGAGAAAGAGAAGCTAGAGCTAGAAAAGGAGCTTGAAATATGTAGAAAAAGGGTTCATGAATATGAGGTAAGAGAAAAGATGATGATGTCAAGAAGAGATGGTAGCATGAGAAGCAGAACTTCATCTCCCTCTTGTAGCAATGCTGAAGATAGTGATGGATTGTCCATTGATTTGAATCACGAAGCAAAGGAAGAAAATGGTTTTTATGGCCATCAAGAATGCAGCAACCAGAACACCCCCGTTGATGCAGTCTTATATTTGGAGGAATCATTGGCAAACTTTGAGGAAGAGAGGTTATCAATTCTAGAACAACTGAAGGTACTGGAAGAAAAGCTAGTTATGTTGAATTATGAAGAAGAACACTGCTTTGATGATACTAAATCAATAGAACATCTTTGTGAACAGAACGGGAATGGATATCATGATCATAATGATTATCATGCAAATGGATTTGCTAATGGTCATGCAAAGGAAATAAATGGTATTCATCACCAAGGGGGGAAAATCACAGGTACAAAACCCAAGAGGCTTCTTCCACTTTTTGATGCAATCAGTACAGAAGCAGAATACGTAGAGTTGAGTGGAGATGAAAATGAGTTAGAATTTTCCCCCTTGCAAAATAGTTCAGCTGAAAAGGTTAATTTGGATAAGAAAAAGCTTGCTTTAGAAGAGGAGCTGGATCATGTGTATGAGAGACTACAGGTGCTGGAAGCAGATAGAGAGTTCCTAAAGCACTGTATCAGCTCGTTGAGAAAAGGAGACAAAGGGTTAGATCTTCTCCAAGAAATATTACAACATCTTCGTGATCTGAGGAATGTGGAATTCAGAGTCAGGAACATGGGAGATCTTGCAGTATAAGAAGTCTATATGCTCAAATGTACCAAAGAGAAAATAGGTAAAATGCTGATCTTGTTGCATTAAAAATGATTTTCTCTTATTTTTCAATTAGGATGTCACTTATACATTTATTAAGATCTTGCTAAATGCAGATTTGTTATATTGGAGTTGATCCACTAGCTGCAAATCAAGCATACATGAGCACCACTGCTGTGGTCTACATAGATACAGGACACACCAATGCATCATCACTTGAAGAATTTAACAAAAAGCCAATGGGAGTTCCCTAATGGAGAGGGGAGAATCCTGGTATGGTCTGTTTGATACAATGGTGGACAACAAAACTGAAGTCTGCCTTTTTCTTTTTTCTTGTTTCTTTTGTCCAAGTAAGCCCAAATTTTTGTGGGTTGTGTCCATCATTACCTTTGTGGAAAAGGAGGATGATGAGTATATGTCAGTGTGTATATGTCAGTGTGTAGGCTAGTGAGGTGAAGCCACCCTGTCACTTTGTATTTTGAGAGCAAAGTCCTGGCTTGCAAAGCTGGAGAGATCCAAAGAAAGATTCCAGTGCCAGGCACATAGCATTAGTTTATTAGACAGACAGAATTAGGGCCACTAGTTTTGTCATTTCTTACATTTTTGTTTTTTTGTGTTTTTGTTTCGGTAAGAGTGAAGATCGGGTAAGTAGCCTCTTTCTTTTCTCTTTTTTCATCTTTTTGCATTATTGCATCCTATGAGGTTTGTTTATTTCTGAGGGGGGAAAGCTGAGTCACTTGTATACTACATGTATTCATTTGTAATTATATAAAAAAAGTGAGTGTTTGTTTATACTTCTTGGTATTAGCTTTGGTTAATGTTACTTTTTAAAGCTTGTGGCTGAGATAGATATTCAAAAAAGAATTAAAAATAGCATAAGAAGCAAACGCTGCTTTCACAATTGATTGTGCTTTACTCAAAATGCAACTTCTCGATGGATTGAAAACAAGACAAGTAAACTAAAATAATATTAATATACAGCGTGGAAAACAATAGAAGGACGTCGGCACAGAGATATTGCTGAAGCCTAAAAGGGATATAAGTCTATTGATAAGGTGGCAACGGTTGCAAATTTTCAAGTATGAATAGCTATTAAACAATTGCCACCAAAGCAAGAAATTTCCTCAATGCATACGTGGACCAATCATCTGCACCGTTGATCTCGTATTAAATAATTATGTTTATGTTTATGTTTATGTTTATGTTTAGGCATGTAGGTTAGAGAGAGATAATATTCCCGAATTGGGTACAATTTGTAAGGTTTGTTAAAATTAAGCTCGAGCATGTTAAACTCATTGTCAGGTAACTTATACAGAAACGACTTAACTACAATTTAGAATCCGGTTTACCATTGATACAAGTTCTTATCCAATTTCGAAGATAAGAACAAATATAAAAAGCCTATAATTTTATGAATGCTCTGTAAGGTACTTATCAGTATAGATTATACGTTCGAAAAAGACAGAAATTAGAATAGATGATCAAATAGAAGGTCGCCATTTTGTATAATTTCTAATAGACAAAAATAGTAATTCAAAAGACCATCCTTATCAATCTTGAAACTTACAAACTTCTAAATTTTAATGTCATAAATGCAAATAGACACATTGTATCTGGCCAAATCTTCGTTATCAAAGAGAAATATCAAACAAAGGAGAGAAGGGTACTCGTCTTCGAGACTCATGAGTCATGACTCATGAGTGCCCTTGAGGTTACGCTGCCCAACCAATAGTTAAGGGGTCCATTTAGTAATTAAGATGTATTTAACCATCTTACATTTTCGTTTGGGTCCATCATTCACAAGGACATTGACCCTTTCACCCCCAATACATGTCTTTGTTTGCCGTGGCCCATGCCATGAGAAATAGACAACCAACGTACACCTTTTGTTTTTTTCTTCTTCTTTGTTTTATGAGATAGGTTATTTTATTTATTTTTTGTTTATCTTTATCAACCACTCTAAAAAATTATTAGATCAGAATTTTAATTAATATTTATCTTTTTCTCTTATCTTTAGATTTTGATCTAACGGTATTGAAAATTGTGATAGACAAAAGTAAGCAGAAAAAAAATTAATAGAATAGAATCTATCACTTATTTTATTTAACAAATCAACGTTCATTCTTTTATGACCATGGCATGTACTTTATCAAAATGGATGCATGGCTCAATAACTGTCAAACCACCTCAAATAAATGTTACCAACTAATTACTGTAGAAGATTCTGGAAGAAGGTGGAGGATAACATTCACCTCTATATATACATGAAATCATTTGTAATATGACAATGTTGTTTTAACTTGAGAGCATTTCGAGAGTACCTCTAGAGAGGATATTGAAAAGTGACCTCTTTGTAGAAGTTTGAGAATACCACCATCCTTAGTGAAGTTACCTCTAGTGTAACTAAAGAAGTTTGAATCCTTGTAATCTTTCTTTTTCGTAGTGAAAGATTTTCTAGATTAGCGTCCGTTATTTTTTTTTTTTACTTTTTTGCATTAGATAATGTTTTCCACATTAAAACTTGACAATGTCTAGCTATTTGTCTCTTTCATTTATGCATTTTTCGTTTTTCTCGTGTTGGTCGACCTAGTGACTTTGGGCCGACCTCGAGTACCTAGTTCGAAGCTCAAAGTGACATGTGAAATCGCTTCCGTGTTGATTTGAGGAACCGACGTCCCAACAACTTGTATGGTTCATTTTGTTACGTGGGATATAAGATTAGTTGTTTAATAATATCTTCATTTTGAACTTTATTAACAAAAGATAGAATTAATTAATTAAAATAATAATTTATACCAAACTATTGGGTTGAATTGATTCTTTATATGGTATCAGAGTTTCAGAATTTACTCTTATCAGTGTCACTAGGGGTGTTAACGAGCCGAGCCGAGCCAAGCTTTGGTCTTAAAAGGCTAAGCCTGTGTTTAAATGTGTCAGCCTGATCTAGCCTGTTACCTGTTATGAATATAATTATCGGCCTGTGGCCTGTCTTATTTACAAAAAAAACCTGATTTAGCCTGTTTAAAAAAAAATAAGATAACAAAAATTTATCCAAACAGGATATACAAAGTAATTTCATAAATATTCAAAAATTCAATGTATATCCAAACAACATAATATAGAACAAAATCATTCAAAATGTCTGTTTAACCAATAAAATGAGGCAAAATGGATTGAGGAGAAAGGGGGCTATTACAAGTAGTATAAAAAATATAAAACAAAAATTAATATATTAGGTCAGCCTGAGAGGCTCCAAGACTGAGCTTTTGAATTGGAGCTTGATGCCTTTTTATTAAACGAGCTTTTATACAAGTCCAAGCCTGGTTCCAATCTATGATGCACGGACACGGACACGGACACGGGACACGATACGCCGACACGTTACTTCTAAAAAATGTTATATTTGGACACGTTGGGACACATTTTGATATTAAATAAATTTTTTAATATTTAATATAATTTGAAGACATACACTCAACTTAGTTCACAATTAATGAAAGAAATGTGGAATTTAAGGGTATCCATTAATGATGTTTCAAATTTAGACATTTTCGAGTCTTCTCTTATTTTTTTTTCTTTACTCCAAATAATGAAAGAAAGGAGGAAAATCACATAAATTGAGAAAGTCATGGCCTAAATGTCTAAGTCTAATGGTACTCGGAGGCATCCTGTTTCTTTTATTTCTCTCTCTCACAGTCAAGTTCAATAATATTATATTCGATGATTTCAACCAGTACAAGTTACAAGCTACAGTACAAGTTAAAACCCAAAAAAGTCTTTTGCCTTTTTCTACAGTCCACGATTCTTTTTACCATTCTCCCTGAATGGAAATGGTTCCTTCGGCATTGTTTTCTTCTAACAACCGCCAAATTGTCGACAATGGCGGAGTTAGGGTTTTCTTGTTTGTTAATGAAAAAACCGAATATCATGTACTGCTTACTGTGAGTGTGAGGAGAAGATAAGGTAGTTTGTCGACAATGGCGGAGTTAGGGTTTCAGGAACCAAGCTCGTGGAGGCTGGGGTTAAGCAGCCCTGAGTCCATCGTCTTCACACTTGAATCCAACTTGAGTCTCTTCTCCTCTACTTCTGCTCTTTTTTATTTGTAATTTTTTTTAAATGCAAAACGTGTCCACATCCGTTTAACCGCGTGTCGGATACAGTCAAATTTGCGTGTCCCACTAGTCAACGTGTCCTAAAAAGTCGAACGTGTGTCGAACGAGTGTCCGAACGTGTCCGACACGTGTCAGACACACATTTTTTCCCCAAAAAAAGCGTGTCCGTGTTTCACAGGTTTCAATAACCAATTTCAGACATGTAAGTTCAGGCATTCACGAGCCGAGCCGAAGGCCCCTCGTTTGTTTACCACCCTTCACTTTTTCTTGTGAAATTTCTCATCACAGGTAAGTTGAACCTGATACATCATCCATCCTTCAAACTCATTAGGCTCTCGTGTGAGGAGATGTGTTAGAGATATATAAAATCATTAATATAATCTCAGCCACCAACTTAAACTTTCGAGTTAAATTGATTATTTACAGAAAGATTAACCTTCGATCTTATTTAACAAATCTCACTTGAATTTAACAATTGACATAATTAATAAAATAGAGCCGTTATATATATATATATATATATATATATGTATGAAATCAAGGAAGTCAGATTTACATTGGTGTATATATAAAGTTAGAAACACCCCTCCTTTGAACATCTAAAATATCTTCTTTTCACATTCATTTTGATTCATAAGATACAAGTTTGAGATGGAGAGCGTGAGAAAATAATTTTGTGTCGTTGAATGTTGTTCTTAATAAGGCAAAGCTACAGCACAACTTTAAATTAATTCAGCATTTATCACTCAAAAGTTCATGTCCAACCAAAGATGAGAATGCATTGCTTTCTTACTGAGACACGAGAGCGGTTGCCACGTGACTCGTGAATTGGAATGATCGTGACAAATTGGTCTCTTTCCCGTACAACGTACTAACTACTAACTAACGTAGTAAATATTGTAAAGAAAGAATTCCGCGTTATATGGTGATCTCGTTTACCAATAAATTTTTAGTGTATGATCGAAGATTCAGTATATTTGTTCAGTTATCTCGTGATACGTGTGTAAAGCATATCATACTATCTATTTTCATTTAAATGATGTGATTTTTTTTACGTGTCACAAGAATAAATGAACAGATCCGCTGAATTCAATATATGTGATACACTAAAAACTTATTACTGGTTTACGAAAGCAGTGACGATATGTTTATGTTCTCTTTTGACTTTTGAAGCTTTAAGGAACGATGAAAAATGAAAAACAACTCTCGAGGGTGTTGGGACGTGAGAGCCAAAATACTACGGAGAGCGAGAAAACATACAAGTGGACATCGCGTCATATTAGATTTATGGTTTTTTTTCACTTATATAGTTTTTATTTTGTTTTTTTTAATTTGATTTTGTATACATTTAACTCACGTTTAAATTTTCATTAGAGGATTGGATTTTTATGATGGATTTTCTTAACAAAAGTAGTTGAGATTGTCTCGAATCCATTTCGTAGATGAAACAAGTTATTTTGGTATTTTAATTTCATTTGGGTCGAAAGTGAAACAATATTGACCCTTTTCTCACACGATTCATCTAGATATTGAACACATGTTCCTTTTCCAAGTGACACATTTTGTTTCTAATGTGTCACTCCATGCTGGAAGCAGAGGATTAGTTTAATTATAAATGAGGATAGGCACACCTGCGACTTCATTTGTCTGAATATTAACAATGTTAATTTAATTATGTGTCTTGTTTCGTAATAAAAATTTGATATTTTTCAAATTGTATTTATTTGAAAAATTGTAGTACTTCACCTTTGTGTATGGTAGTCCTAGAAGTGTGGAAAGAAGGATTTTGTGGGAAAACCTGAAAGACATTGGAGAAACTGTAAATAATGATTGGGCTGTTTTAGGAGACTTTAATAGTATTTTAGAAGGTAATGAGAAGCAGGGAGGTGGTGATGTTTGCTGGAGCAGTGTTCAGGAGTTCTCTAATTGCCTTAGTGGATGTCACCTTTTGGATATAGGTTGTTCTGGCCCGAAATTTTCCTGGAAGAGAGGCAAACTGCAAGAAAGAATAGATAGGCTGGTTGTTAATGACTCGTGGCTTTTGAGTTATCCCCACAGGTCCATTTATCATTTGAGCTTTAATAGGTCTGACCATAGACCCTTGTTGCTTAAAGATGATTCATGCACTGCTATATTTAAGGGACCTAAACCCTTTAGGTTCCTTGTTGCCTGGTTGACTGATGAGAACTTTGGAGAGGTTGTTGATGCTTGCTGGAATCAGACCTCAGATTGGGTTCATGCTAAGGATAAGTTCCAGAGGGAAGCTTCTCTTTGGCACTGTAATGTCTTCAAAGAATTGCATAGAAGGAAACTGAAGATACAAGGTAGGTTGAGGGGGTTGGAGGCTGAGATGTGTAGGTATCACAGTGAAGCATTGGAAAGGTTACACAAATCTCTTTGGTAGGAGCTGAATAGAATCTTTGTCCAAGAGGAGTTGACATGGTTCCAACGCTCTAGATGTAAATGGATGGCCTTTGGGGATAGAAATACAAGGTTTTTTCACTCTGCCACTGTGGCTAAATTTAGAAGGAACAAAGTTACAACCTTGAAAAATGATGAGGGTGATTGGGTAGAAGATCCAGAAATCCTTAAAGATATGGCTGTCAAGTTTTACAAACAGTTGTATGCAGGGGAGACTAGCTCAGTACCGAGCCTTTGCATTGAAAATGGATTTCCCACCATTGATGACCAAGCCTGGAAGAACTTGGGGTTAGTGCCTGATGCTATGGAAGTTAAGAAAATATTCTTCAGTATGAAGCCTTATAAAGCCCCTGGAATAGATGGCCTGCATGCTGTGTTCTTTCAATCCCAATGGGGAAAGATGGGTGATTCTGCAGTCAAGTTTGTGAGGGAGGTGTTCCAGGACCCGAGTTTAGTTGAACAGGTTAACCAAACTCTCATCTGTTTAATCCCAAAGTGTGACTGTCCTGATACCTTGAGCCAATTTAGACCAATCTCACTTTGTAATGTGATTTTTAAAGTGGTTACTAAAGTGTTGGTGGGTAGACTGAAGAAGTTTATGAGGGAACTTATAATGCCTAATCAATGCAGTTTTGTCCAAGGGAGGCATGCTTCAGACAACATAATTATTTCTCAAGAAATATTCCATTCCATGAGAACTAGGAAAGGTGCTAAAGGTTGGATGGCAGTGAAAGTGGACCTGGAGAAGGCATATGATAGAGTAAGTTGGGAGTTCTCCAAGAGTCTATGTTGATGGCTGGGTTCCCTGAAGCACTTATCAGTCTTATTATGGCCTGTGTGTCATCTTCTTCTATGAACTTACTTTGGAATGGATCCCAGACTGAGGAGTTCAAGCCCACTAGAGGGATTAGACAAGGAGATCCCCTTTCCCCTTACCTTTTTGTACTCTGTATTGAACGGTTGGGTCACATGATCTCTTCTGCCATGGATAAGAAGGATTGGCTCCCTGTTAAGCTTGGGAGGAGAGGCCCTCCTATTTCTCACCTCTTCTTTGCTGATGACCTGCTCCTATTTATGGAAGCTTCAGTGGGTCAAGCTGAGTTGGTCACTAGTATCCTGGATAGGTTTTGCCTTGCTTCGGGCCAGAAAGTTAGTACCACTAAGTCTCGGGTCTTCTTCTCTAAAAATGTGAATCATACTAGAAGGAAGTAGCTGAGCCAGGTCATGCATTTCTCTTGCACTGCTGATTTAGGCAAGTATTTGGGTATGCCTATTCTACATAAGAGAGTTAATAGGAAAACTTTCAGGTTTATCCTTGAGAGGACTAATAATAAGCTTAGTGCTTGGAAGCAGAAATCCTTGTCTATGGCAGGGAGAGTAACTTTGACAAAGTCTGTCCTTGCTTCTCTCCCCATTTACTCTATGCAAACCTCTCTCATTCCTCTGGGTACTTGTGATGAAATTGAACAAAAAATGAGGGGTTTTGTGTGGGGTTCGAGTAGGGAGGCCAAGAAAGTGCATGCTTTGCCTTGGAACACTATTTGTAAACCTAAAGGTGATGAGGGACTGGGTATCAGAAACTTGAGGCAAATGAACAAGGCGTGTCTTATGAAGATAGCTCATGGATTGTTAAGCAACAAGGAAGACCTATGGGCCAGGGTGTTGAGGCATAAGTATAAGGTGGAGGATAAGCTAATTCCCACCATAGTAAAGAAATCTGGTTCGTCAAATTTGTGGCAAGGCATAACTCGGGTGTGGCCTCAAATAATGGAGGGTTCTAGAGTAATGGTTGGCAATGGAATGGGTAGTTCCTTTTGGCATGATAAGTGGTTATCTATTGGTCCACTTTTGGAACACAGGACCCAGGATATACCTGATGAGAGCTTGAGTGCTAAGATTGCAAATATGGTGACACCCAATGGAGATTGGAATTGGCAGGCCTTTGAGGACTATATTTCGGTTGAAGCCATGAGTTTGGTGGCAGGAACCTGCCCTCCTCTTCGTTCGAATGGGGATGATATGGTGATTTGGGAGGCATCCCAGGATGGTAAATTCTCTATAAAGACAGCCTACTGTAACTTAGTTGGAGAGAATTCAGATGATAATCAGTTTCAGTGGAATGCTGTTTGGGATTGGGGAGGACCTCCTAGGATAAAAACCTTTCTCTAGCTTGCACTTGGGGAAAATTTACTTACTAATAGGAGAAGAGTACAAAGGCATATGGCTATTTCTGATGTCTGTCCTAGGTGTATGTCTCATTCTGAAAGCTGTGTTCATGTTTTAAGAGACTGCAGCCGGTCCCAAGCTGTTTGGAGAAGATTCATTAGTCCAGGTGCTTGGCTGGAATTTATGAACCTCCCTTTTGCAGATTGGATGCAATCTAACCTATCCCAGAGAAGGTGCGCATTGAGAGGGGAGAGGGGTTGCTTGTTATTTGGGATTGTATGTTGGTTCCTATGGAAGGATATAAACTTGTTTGTTTTTGAAAACCAGATTTCTGATGTGGAGAGTCTGGCTAGGAAAATTTGCATCTTTCTCTCTAATTTCATGGAGGCGAGCAAGATGTATAGGCATGCTGGTTTATCGCAGGTGAACAAAGTTGAAGTCCTGGTCAAATGGCTTAGCCCTCCCTCTGGTTGGATTAAGGTGAATGTAGATGGTTCAGCTAGGAGGCGAAACAGTCAATGTGGTTGTGGGGGTGTGCTTAGGGATGAAAGGGGCTGTTGGTTATCAGGTTTTGCAAGGAATTTGGGGGCAGGTAGCTCTGTTCTGGCCGAAGTCTGGGGCATGTTCTTAGGACTTCAAACTGCTTGGGACAAGGGTTATCGAAGAGTGTTTGTTGAAGGGGACTCGAAGGTTGCCTTAAAATTGGTGGAAGAAGGGTGCTTACCTAACCACCCTCTTGGTTTCCTGCTACATAGGATTAATCAGTTGTTGACACTTGACTGGCAGGTGAAGTTCACGCACGTGTATAGGGAGGGTAATGGAGTTGCTGATTTTATTGCAAATTTAGCTCATAGCTGTAGTTGGGGTACTCACTTTTTTGAGGTTCCCCCTCCTGGTTATATAGAGTTTCTGAATAGAGATTATAGGGGTATAGTGTGGCCTAGATTGGTCACTGTTATGTAATACTTTTAGGTTTCCTTGTTATAAAAAATAAAAATAAAAATTGTCAGATAATGAATTTATTGAATAAAGATCTGCTTCCCACTTGCTTTGACCCTTCTCATCACCGAGTCAAGCAGGCGTCCTCAAGTCAACAAGAAGACACGTTTCTCGTTTTCAGTTCTCATTGTTATAGCAGATATCTATGTTATGTTCGTCTTTTCCCTTACACGAAACTAACTCTATTTCTTATTCATTTTTTTCTTCCTAACTCCCACTTTCTCTGCATCACCTCTCATTTCCTCGTAAACCCAATTTCAGTTAACAAAAAAGATCACAACTTTGCCTCAACAATCCATCTGTTTCCGTTTCATGGGCTGGTCTAGGGATTGGGAACCATAGACGCCGCCATGGACAAATTTCTTCAGAGTCTTGGCAAACACTTCAAATTCGGTTTCGGTAAAGGTAGTCCAACAAAACCCAGTTTTTCCTTTCTTATTTTCTTTCTTTTTCAGTATGAATTTTATTTTCTGGTTGATGAGTTGCCTGATTATAGTAGGGTTCTCTTCTTCTCTGTTTCTGCTCGGTTGTGTTTTGATCAGAGCGAAACAATGAAGCTGACATACAGAGAATGGCTGCACAGGAGCAGAAGATCTTTGCCTATGAAACCTTGGCTGCTGCCACCAAGAATTTCAGTGCTCTTCACAAGCTAGGTCAGGGAGGTTTTGGACCTGTCTTCAAGGTAAAATCAATGAGCAATTTTATTAATTGTTTTGTGTTTGGTTGCTAGGGAAAGTGGCAGGAAGAAAAAACTGAGAAAGCTTTCTTTTGGTTAAAGTACATGTTTTCTGAAATGAATTCAGACACAGCCTACAAGATTTTGGAATTTTGAAAGTTCTCTCTTCCAAATCAATGGTCGGACTCAAGAACTTGATAGCTTTTCTTGTGTTTTACTTTTCTTTGAAGAAAATTCCTCAAAAAGTAAAACGGTTCCTCTTTGGTTTTCCCTAATTCTAGTATTCTAATTTGTGGGAATTTATTTTTTGGTTAAAACCTTTTGTTTTGTTTATTTTTTCCTCACAGGGGAAGCTGAATGATGGGAGAGAGATTGCGGTGAAGAAGTTATCACACACCTCAAATCAAGGGAAGAAGGAGTTCACGAATGAGGCCAAGTTATTGGCTCGTGTGCAGCATCGGAATGTGGTAAATTTGTTGGGTTATTGTGTCCATGGCACAGAGAAGCTACTTGTTTATGAGTATGTCCCTCATGAGAGCCTTGACAAGCTTCTATTCAGTAAGTGCTAAGTGCTTCTGCGCCGTTCCTTATTTTGTTTAATAAAATCATGAGATGAATAAAAGCCATTCACATTTTTTTTTATTGTAATTAGGATTGTTTCTGAACCATGCTTTTTGTCAGTTAACAAAAGATTTAACCTGCAGGCATTTCAATTGATGATCATTATTTATAAGAAATGAAATTAATTTAAATTTAAGATAACTATGATTGAGTTCCCTAATTTTTTGCCATGAGGGATGTGAATGACTTTTCCCTTCAACCCAATATTCATTTTCTGACTCTGGAATATGGAATTTCCGTAGGTATCCTTTCCTTAGTGAAATCTTTCAGTGGTCCCAAATTCCCAATTGGTCTTTTCCACTTCGTTCCCTCCATCCGAAACATTTTTTTTTTTTATTGGTGAATTTAGCTTTTTTCAATACTTTTTTAGATACCACCTGAGTCTGAAACCGTAAAGGACTCGACTAATCGAATTTGGACTCAACAAATCAAATCGGGTCTAATTGAATTGTCACTGACCGTCAACTTTTATCAATTTAAACTTTATCATATCTGCCAACCCCGTGGAACGCCTCCTACCATCTTTACCTTTCTTCAAATACAAAAATGTTTTATTTGTCGTGAGTACCTTGACTTTCACATACATAAAATCATTCATTAATTGGATCCATTGGATGCCTTGCCTAAACAACATAATGTTCAAAATCAAACTACTCCTCTCACCCATCTTAACAAAGCCATGACAACTTCTGTTTGATGAACCATCCCTACCATTTTCTCTTTTCATTTTCAACGAAGCACATGCGACAATAAATACAAGGTAGCGTGGGGACTTAAAAGCCAAAAAATTTCAAGTTTGGAACACATTTCTACTTCCTAGGAAGGATAATGGAAACTTCCCAAACATAAACTCTTATTTTCTATATTCATTTGTTGTTGTGGAATAGCCACTAATCCCACTAAATCTGATCTGATCATGTTAAAATAAACTGATATATGATGGTTGGTTATGTGGGGGCATTTCTTATTTTTATCATAAACAACTAATGTTACTGACACTATTAATAGAAAAACATATTCTTATGGTAAGACTGCATATTTTTTGTGCTCCTTAATTGAATGATAATTAGTCTCATGAACGGGGGTAAAAAATTAAAAGAAAGAAAATAACTATATTAAAATTTTTACCAACTTTATAATTAACATTTTCTGTTTGTTGCTCTTTTTTTTTTTATAATGTAACAGTAAGTTTGAATGGATGCAGAATCGGGTAAGAGAGAGCAGCTTGATTGGAAACTTAGGTATGGAATAATAACGGGTGTGGCGAAGGGATTGCTTTATCTGCACGAAGACTCGCACCATTGCATCATACATCGTGACATTAAAGCTAGTAACATCTTGCTTGATGACAAATGGACGCCCAAGATTGCAGACTTTGGAATGGCACGTCTCTTCCCAGAAGATCAAACCCAGGTCAATACACGTGTTGCTGGAACCAAGTAAGTGTATGTATGTTTTTTATTCTATTTTAGGAAAAGATAAAATATTTTTCTTGATTTTTTTTTTTGAATTTTTTAATAAATTTTTTATTATGTAAGCTGGTTTTTATATATTACACAAATAAACTTATCTAATCACACATAGGTTAATAGCATACCGACCACCCAAAATAATAAAATAAAATATTTCTACATACAATTATTGAATTACGTCTTTAAATTACTCATAAATACATACATGGATGTCCAACATAAGTATAATAGTTGTTTATGAATTAGTAATTTCGTTTTAAGGATATCTTAATGATTTAAGATTATCAAATTTGATAAAGAAATATAATTAATTTGAAATTGTATGCATAAAAAGTTTATAATAATTTTAAAATATAAATATATATATATATATAGGGGTAGGATATTGTAACAATCAATTAGTGTTACTATTAATCAATTTTACAGTTATATCGATTATATTGACCCAACAATTATATTTATTTTCACCTTTGTATGGTCATGATTCCCTATATTTAATGTGAAATAATTAAATATGAGAAATCATAATCATACAAAGGTGAAAATAAATATTAAATATGAAAAATCATAACCATACAAAGATGGAAATAAATATAACCGTTGGATCACATAATCAATCTAAGGTGAAATTGATTAGTAGTAATCTTAATTAGTTGTTAGAATATCATTTCCCATATATATATACACGATTAATTTAATATTATTATCGTTATTAGTATTATTATTTACGATTTAGGATTTAACTTAATAACTTTTTCTAGTTTCCATAATAAAGGTAAACGAAACAAAAAGAATGAAACATTATAGTAAAAAGTATGCAGACTGCTTCAACGTAAACAAATAAAAATAAATAAAATAAAAACAATCCCCCTACACAGTAACATAAGTCATTCAAGAAGAAAAAGTAAAAAAAGAAAAAGAAAACGTTACATTAATATTTAAAATTAAAAACCAGGTAAAGTCTTTACAATATTCTTTTTAATTAGACATGAATCAAATAATATAAAAATAGTGTTATATAAGTACTAGAGTTAAAAAAGATCAGATTCTTTCTTCATTAAATTTAAGTTTAAGCATTTTCTTTCTTTATCAAGGTTAACATTCGCCATTTTTTCTTTATTAAATAAGTTAATCTGAATGATTAGATGAAAATAAATTTAAAATTTAACCCGGGCCGTAAAAGTTCAAGTGAGTAAACTGTCAACAAAATTAAGTTGCTTTTAAAAGAAACATATGATGCTTTTTGTCCAAAACAAAATATGGAAGATTGTAAGATTTTGTGTATATATATATATATAAAAGAAATATGTAAGATGGGAAAGTTAGCAATTTCATATACAATACAATTTTAAATTAGAATATTAAAGACTAATATAATCTTGGAATATAATCTTGGAATAAATTAAAATGATAAAAATTAATATAACCCTGAAATAAATTAGAATTATAAAAATAAATTTTTTTCAACCCAAAATGATGTCGTTTTGGGTTTACTCGAGCTAAGTTATCTCCAGTGAACCCATCACGACATCGTTTTGGGTTTGAAAGATTAAAAAATTAAAATTGTAAAGACTAATATAACCCTGAAATATATTAAAATTCTAAAAATACATTTTTCTCAATTTCAAAACGACCTCATTTTTTGGAATTAGAAAATTAAAATAATTAAAATAATAAAGACTAATATAATCCTAGAATAAATTAGAATTACAAAAATATTTTTTTCTCAACCCCAAAATGATGTCGTTTTGAGTTCATTGGAGATAAGTTATATTCAGTCACTCGAAATAACTTATTTTCAGTGAGTAAAAAATGACATCGTTTTGAGGTTGGAGGATTAAAAATTTAAAATAATAAAGACTGATATAACCCTGTAATAAATTAGAATTACAAAAATTCATTTTTATCAACCGAAACGACATCGTTTTGGGTTCATTGGAGATTGGTTATCTCCGGTCGGTGGAGGAACGCTTAACCCATATACATATAAGGTTAAGCGTTTCTCCAGTGGCTAATATAACCCTGTAATAAATTATAATTATAAAAATACTTTTCTTTTAATCCCAAAATGACGTTGTTTTGGGCTCACTAGAGATAAGTTATCTCTGGTCATCGGAGAAATAATTAACCATATATATATATATATATATGGAAAAAGTATTTCTACAGACACTTTAGATAAGGTTATCTGCAGCTACCCCTTTTAAACTAAGTACGACCAGTCGTACTTATTTATAACTTATAACAATAAATGTGCTCTCTTTTTCTCTCTCCTCAGACACTGTCGGCTGACGTGGTGGAGAGAGAAAATGCACTTTTAATGTACGACCGGTCGTACTTAGTTAAAAAGGGGTAGCTGTAGACAATCTTATCTAAAGTGTCTGCATAAATGTTTTCCCCTATATATATATATATGAGGTTTACTAATCTCATGTTACATGAGATAATACTCTCATGTGGGTGACACAAATATGTGGGGTCCACAATTTAAAAAGAAAAGAAAAAATTGACACAAAATTCTATGGGTGTATGACATGAGATATGTGTCTTATGTAACATGAGACTATCATTTCTCTCTCTCTATATATATATATATATATATGGTTGCATTTTCTTATACAACATGTGAGGAGCTTTTTTTTTTACACATACAACCAAGTGGACCCATTAGTTTTTTAAAAAAAAAAAAAAAGGAAAAAATTATTAACACGGAAATCGAGCTTTCACTAACATGAGAGGAACTTTGTTCCTACTACATAAGATTTATTTATTCTTATATATATATATATATGAGAAAAATATTTATCAATCAGCTTGAGATATATTTATCTCCATCCATTTGAAAACTACGTCGTTTTGATTATTTATTTTCTTATATTAATTAATTCACCTTTTAATGGTTATGATTTCTTTTTTCTATCTCTTCTTTTATCGCCATTGATATATTTTTGTACGGTTATGATTTAGTAGCTGGAGATAAAGTTATCTGAAGCTGCTTGAGAAATGATAAGCCTTATATATATATATATATATATATATATATATATATATATATATATATATATATATATATATGCTTTAATATTTTTACCATGAATGCAGATAAATTATCTATATTCCCTCTCAAAATGACGTTGTTTTGAGTTGAAAGATTAAAAACATAAAATGATAAAAACTATTATAGCCTTTGAATAAATTATGACATTATTTTGCGCTCGATGGAGATAACTTATCTGCATTCACTACAAAAAAAGGAAAAAGAAAAAAATTATTAACACGGAAATCGAGTTCTCACTAACATGAGAGGAACTTTGTTCCTACTACATAAGATTTATTTATTCATATATATATATATATATATATATGTATGGGTTTGCATTCATCATTTAACATGACAAAAAAAAAATTCCTACACACACAATATTTTGTGGGGTTCACACTTTTTGAAAAAAAAAAAAAAAATTACGGCACGCAAAACGAATCTCCATAACATTACACAATCACTTCTCTTACAACGTAACTCTTATAAAACCCATATATATGTATATATATATATGAGAAAAATATTTATCAATCAGCTTGAGATATATTTATCAATCAGCTTGAGATATATTTATCTCCATCCATTCCAAAACTACGTCGTTTTGATTATTTATTTCATTATATTAATTAATTCACCTTTTAATGGTTATGATTTTCTTTTTCTATCTCTTTTTTTATCGCTATTGATATATTTTTGTACGGTTATGATTTAGTAGCTGGAGATAAAGTTACCTCAAGCTGCTTGAGAAATGATAAGCCCTATATATATATATGCTTTAATATTTCTACCATGAATGCAGATAAATTATCTGTATTTCCTCCCAAAATGACATCGTTTTGAATTGAAAGATTAAAAACATATAATGATAAAATCTATTATAGCCTTTGAATAAATTATGACATTATTTTGGGCTCGATGGAGATAACTTATCTGCATTCACTAAAGAAAAAGATAAACTCAAAGATATATATATATATATATATATATATATATATATATATATATATATATATCAGAAAAATATTTCTGCAGTTATTGCAGATAAATTATCTGCATTTACTCTCAAAACGACGTCATTTTGGGATTGAAATATTAAAAAATTATAATTATAAAGATTATAATAACCCTGAAATAAATTAAAATTACAAAAACACCATGATTTTCGCGCCAAAATGACGTCGTATTGGGCTTACCGCAGGAAAAACGAACCATATATATATATATATATATATATAGAGAGAGAGAGAGAGAGAGAGAGATTTGATTTTCTCATGTTGTGACTCAACTAATGGTGGGTCCCACATTTATTAAAAAGAGAAAAAGAAAAGAAAAGCTTTGCACGCAAATCGAAGAGCCACAACATGAGAATTGAATTCTCATGGAACATGAGAAAATATTTTCTCATATATATATATATATATATATATGAGGTAAGATTCTTTGACACCTCATTTGAGAGTCATTAGATCAAAAAAGATCAATATTAGAGTAGCATTAATTTGTTAGGATCCTGATTGTAACTATCACGGTTTGTTACCTTGTATATTAAAATAGATTAGCTTGATTTATGCTTTCTGTTCCTTAAGTTTAGCTGATTTCCTGATGTAACCAATTGTAAATCTTGGTCTATATAATAGACCCAATTTAATATATCATCTAGCTGCGAATGACAGCAACTTCTGTTATGGTATCAAGAGCTTGACGATCAACAAGCCTTCATTTTTTTTCATCATGACTTCCGCACCTAAAACCTTCAAGGTTTCTGATTCTAAGTCACCCTTTTACCTGCACCCATCCGACAATCCTGGTGCTGTTCTCACCACGGTCATCCTCCGTGGACAATCCAATTATGAAAATTGGGCTAAGCTTCTAAAAAATGCTCTCCGAGCCAAAAATAAACTTGGTTTTATTGATGGCACTATTG